GTGGCCCATCCCCGCTCCCTGATCAGCAGGCGTGCACGTCTAATCCGCTCCCACCATGGCGCCTGTCCCCAGCACCACCAGGGACCCTGTGATCCGGGCCATGAGGCTGTGGAGCAGAACCAGAACCAGCAGGCTCGCCTAGGATGGAGCGGAGCGTTCGGCTCTGGCCCCAGCAGCGCCGTGCGTGGGCCCGGGCTGGAAACCGGACCCTGGTGTTGAAACGAGAGTGTGCGGGACGGGACCAAAGGCAGCTGACACGTAGGGGGAGAGATTCGCAAACTCAGACATCGGCAGACACTGTCTGAATGAATCAAGACAAACCAGCCAAGGAGCAAACTAACAACAGAATATCATGAGACGCGAAACGATGCGAACCTCCCAGCACACGTACAGGCGGGTTCCTTGAAGAAGAGGAGGGTCCAAGACAGAACACTGTCTGACCGAAATACGCTGGAAATGCTTTCAAATTCGCCGAGAATTCTAAGCCCAAGAAGCTCGATGACCTAAAGCACAAGAAACATGAAGAAAACCATACTAGAAAGAAAAAAACCACACTACGAAGAAAACCACAATCCAGCTGCTTAAAGCAGGGACAAAGAGAAGAATTTCAGCGTGGCCAGAGGACCGAAGGTAAAGATGACAGCGGACGTCCCCTTGGAGACAGCAATTACGCAGTAAACATATAGGACGGTTTTCCGTGTAATTTACATCTCCCTAAGTGCTAATGGACTATTTAAACAAAAATAATAATGCATTATGGGGTTTACGACATATACAAAGGTAAAATGCGTGTCACCGGCCTCCTTGGGCACAGGGACTACAAGACCCAGTGGGAGGAGGACCCTAGAGTGTCTGTGGCCACAGGTCTTCGGGGCAGGGCAGGGCATTCACAAGCTCAGCACCCGTGACGGCCCCATGCTGCCGCCCAGACCTCTGTGGCCTGGGGGTGAACTGACTTGCTCAGGGTGCACAGCCGACTCGTGTGGCCAGCACTGGGGTTCAGGCCTCCTGGCCCCCAGCCCGCCTTCTTCCACCCCAGGCTGCCGTGACCTAGTCCAGCAAGGACGGGTGATCTGACTAAAGCTGAGACGTGGGCCCTGCTCCCACGAGACCCCGCAGGCTGTGCCAGACGGCTCTGCTGTTCAGGTCTGCTCCAAGGGGTCCCGTCGGGGCTCGGAGGCCACGTGGGTCCTGCCGGGGCCAGGGGGCTGCGTGGGTCCTCCGGGCCTTCAGGGCGTGCGCGGAGGCGGTGTCGTGCCTGCCCTCGGACCCTGGAAGATGTGCCGTCAGCCCTGCAGCCCGGGGACTTGGGTCCACCAGCCCCCTGCTCGCTTGTTGTTTCCATCACTTAAAGGGAGGATACTCCACGGGCCCCTCCTCAGCTCCCAGCATCTCAGTGAGGTCACGTCACACGCGGCCTAATTTAGATCCTTTTCTGCAGAAAAACTCAGAGCAGCCGGGCACCCCTGACCCCTCCCTTCCTGACTTCTCCCTCCAGCGCCTGTCGTCCGGGCACAGCCACGCACTGGGCTGGGCGTGGGCACAAGGACCCAAGAGAGCATCGGCGTGGCACGGGGACGATGGGCAAAGTCACAAACACCTGCAAAGCAGGAAAAGAGTCACATATTTTTAACACCTCATAGCCTCTTACTTAATCGCCCCAAACAACGAATGAACGAACGAACAAACAAACAAAAAACCTCACTCTTTTGAATGTCTTAACTTTTACTTTACTGGGTTTGTGTCCAAACCACCAAAAAGCTCTGGGCGGCCAGTCCAGGTCTCCGGAGGTCTGCCGGCTACGACCAAGGGCCAAGTCAACAATCGCACCATTCTCCTAGAAAAATACTGTCACCTATATGCTCGGCCTGGCACAGGGCCCTGTGTCCCTCTGGAGTCAGAATGACCGGAGTTCAAGGTTGCCAGAATCCCCCACTCCCCAAAGGTAACCGGAGTCCCTCTTGGGGATCCCAAGGGACCATAATGGTCACTCTTTTCTCTTTTCTCCTCCATCGTCTGCTTGACAGAAACCATTGTTTCACGGCGTTGGGTTATTTTAACTTCCTTCCCTTCCAAAAGTAACAGATCCAAACCCTCGATATCTGCGTATAACCTTCCAAAGCCCATTAACGCCCCGTCTCATTCGGCTCCCCTGCAGTAACCCTACGACGTGCACACAGCAACTCATTCCCCTCGTTTTATAAGTGAGCAAAGCGAGGCACAGAGATTGGCCTCTAGTCACAAAGCCAGACAGGGACAGAGCTGGACCGGGATTCTAGACCTCTTGATCTTCGTTGACGTGGTGTTTTCACGGCACCATGATGTCAACACACGCTGCTCACACTGTCTACAGTGAGACCTCAGGGTCAAGAAGAACCAGCTTGGGGAGCAATCTGGACAGAGGGCTGAGGGACGCTTCTCGCCTGGTCCCAGATTTGTTGGAATATGAGAGCAAAAGGAACCTACATCCAGGTTACAGGAGATGAAATCGACACACAAAAATCAGTTGCATTTCTATCCACTGATAATGAACTGTCAGAAAGAGAAATAAAGAAAACAATCCCATTTATGATTGTATCAAAAAGAATCAAAATACCTAGAAATAAATTTAAACAAGGAGGTAAGAGACCTGTGTATTGAACACTACAAGACATTGATGAACGCAATTAAAGAAGACACAAATAAACAGAAAGATATTTCATGCTCCTGGATCGTAGAATGAATATTGTTTAAGTGTCCACACCGCCCACAGCACTCTGTAGATTCAGTGCAATCCCCAGTAAAACTCCAATGGCAAGTCCCGCAGACATAGAACAAACAACCCTGAAATTTGTATGGAACCAGGAAAAAAAAACCCAAATAGCCAAAGTAATCTTGAGAAAGGAGAACAAACCTGGAGGCATCATGCTCCCTGATTTCAAAACGCATCACAAAGCTCCGGCACTCAAAACAGTACAGAATTGGCTTAGACACATAGCTCAATGGAACAGAAATGAGAACCCAGAAATAAACCCAGGCCTGTACGGTCAACTAAGTAACAGTAAAGGAGCCAAGAATAGACCGTGAGGGAAGGACCATCTCTTCAATAAATGGTGCTGGGAAAACTCAACAGCCACATGCAAAAGCATGAAACGCGACCACTATCTTACACCGCATTAACTCAAAATGGATTAAATGTTTGGACACGAGACCCCAAACCGTGAAACTCCTAGAAGAAAACACAGGTGGTAAGCTCTCTGACAGGTCTGGGCCATGGTTTTTTTGGATCTGACACCAAAAGCAAAAGCAACAAAAGCAAAAATCAACAGGTGAGACCACATCGAACCAAAAAGCTTCCGCACAGCAAAGGGACGCTTTGCCATCAACGGAGAAAAGGGCAGCCTACTGGACGGGGGAATATTTGCAAATCACATACCTGACAGAGGGTTAATAGTCAACATATATAAAGAACTCATATAACTCGAAAGCAAAAAAATCTAATTAAAAAGCGGGCAGAAGTTCTGAATAGACATTTTTCCAAAGGGGACACACAGATGGCCAACAGGTACGTGAAAAGATGTTCGACTTCACTGATCATCAGGGAACGGCACATCAAACCACGATGAGACATCGCCTCACACCTGTCAGAACGGCCGTCGTCAAAAGTCAGCAAACGGCAAGTGCTGGAGAGGACGTGGAGAAAAGGGACCCCTCGTGCACTGCTGCTGGGACTGCAAATGTGTCCCACCCAGGCAGGCAGCCTCTCCCCGGCGTCTGTGCCCTTCCCGGGGCTGGACAGCAGGGTGCCGGTGCTGCGGGGTGAGGGCGGGGAGCACGGCCGCCAGGGCGTGGGGAGGCTTTGCGGAGCTGGTCATCTCCCTTGCCCGGATGGGTGAGCTCGGTTCGTCAGATTCGTGCTTACACGAATCTTATGCCATGCGCGCTTTCCTATAGTTGCACGTGTGGCAAAATGGCAGAGGGCCCCATCCTTCACCGTCCCGCGTGTGACGTGTGTGCCCGCCCCCCCCACCCCCCCAAAGCTGGGCTTGGCCATGCGACTTGCTTTGGCCAGTGAGAGCTCACAAACGGGACTCGAGCACTCCCATCTCTGCTCACGCTCTTGGCCTTGTGCATTTTTGTGAAAACCCACGCGAGGCCCCGGGGGCTGCACAGCCGAACTGCCCACACAGCCTACTGCCCAGGCCCGCCCAACGAGCCACCGCCCACGGACTCCCAGCCAGGCCCGGCCCGGTCCTGCCTGTGCATAGCTGGTCACCACCATCACCATGCGCACAGATGAGCGATGCCATTGTGCGTGTAGGTTTAAAGTTAAAAATACGTGTAAGGAAAGTATTGGGGAGACTAAAACATTCACTTTCGAGATGGCCATACCCTGCGGGAAAGACAACGTGTCAGGGACCCCACCAGACCAGGGTCCTCAAAGCACAGCGTGACTCACGAGGGGAGCGCACGCCGGAGCCAGCCGGAACACGGGGATGGCCAAGCCGCAGGGGCCCGCCCGCCAGGCCTCTGCAGCCCCCCTCCGGTTCCGCCGGGTGCAGGGCCGAAGGCTGCTTCCCCCACCCCTCCCCACGCCCCGCCCACACGAGGTCCCACAGCGCTGTGGGGAGAACACATAGCTTCTGCCTCTGCTGTGGCACGTGTCACCACGGAAGGAAAAGGGGTGGTGACGAAAGCGGCCCTGCGGACCCCCTCCGGCCGGCTCCCAGCGGCGGCCGAGCGATGGCTGAGTTACCTGGATTAACCTGAGCTTCTGCAGAACCCAAGAGAGGCAGCAGCAGCGGCAGCACCAGCGGCACCCTGGGGACCAGGAGCATCTCAGAAGGCGGTGTCGGACCCGGAACCTGGAGCCATCGGCAGCACGAGAAAACGGGGAGAGAAGGAAAAGCGGTGAGTGAGGCGGCTCCCGCCTGCGGGAGCGACACGGCTCCGTGTCCCTGCCACGCTCGCGTCTGTGTTCAGGACCCCGAGCCACCCGCTTCGAGAGCGCACGGGGCCATCCCACCCACACGTGCTACGAGGATTTCCTGACTCTGGCAGATGGCACGCTCGGGAGTAGATTAGCAAAAGCGTAGGCAGGTAACGCGCTGTACTAAGAGTAACGCTCACCCAGACCAGGGATGGTGAAAAGGTGAAACCCATGTGCATCATGTTTTCATGATGCTGACACTGACCCCACACTAAAGCACTCGATGACCGAGTGTTCGCCTCCCGGCAGGCGGAGGCCGACGAGCACCCTGGCGCCCTGGCCCGGGGGGACGGCTGGGGCTCCGCGTGTTAGACGAAGGGCTGCAGCTGCGATTCAGCCGGAACTCACATTTCGCTAAACAGGGACCCGGACGGTCACCTCTGGACACACTCCTGATGTGTGTATGCACACGGGTTAGCGCACACACACACTCACACTCACACTCACACTCATCTCCTCGCCGTGTTGGCTGAGAGGGTCAACAGGCCCTGACACCTCGACAGCAACGAGCACACCCAGCGCCAGACATCCGTCCCCAACGCCACCTCCGATAAAGGGAGCCCCCACTCCGAGAAACGGCTAATTCTAGAACTGGGGAGGAAATACACGAAATGAGCTTGCAGGATCTTCTAATGCGGAAACTGAAGAGGTACATACAGAAGATGAGGGGGACGTGTCGAAGGGACTCGGGAGCCCAGTGGCCAAAGCTGGAACGATCCGAGCACAAAAATAAACAACGCAGTGTTGGATCACAGCTCAAGGTACAAAATAAGCTCTGTGAGTCCGTATTGATATGAACGGGTGATCGACTAAACGAACGGGCACAGACACATCCCTGAGCGGTGCCACGTCGCGTATGTGGACACCGTCTGCTGCTGAGGAGGCGCACAGAGGCGCTCTGCAGAGGACACCACCACGAGCCAGGGGACCACGGTCAAGGTCGGCACTGACTAAGTCCCACCGACAGCACGTCCCATGACAGGGCATGGTGAGAATGGCACTCGGCTCCTGGGCTCTTCGTCCCCAGGCCCATCAGCCCGTCCATTCACGAGAAAAGCATCAGACAAGCCCTGGACGAGGGACACGCTACCAATTCCCAATGGGCCCTCCTCGAAGCTGTCCGTGTCACCAAGAAAGTCTGAGGCACGGTCACGGCTCAGGGAGCCAAAGGAGACGTGCCACCCTGCTGGCCTCCTGGAGCACAGGGGGGCGCTCGGGGAACCCCGAGGCAATCCGCATGGGGTACAGGCTTGTGTCGGCCTTGGGTCGCTGGCCGTGACGAATGCACGAGACGTCACGGAGAGGGGGGACGGGAGCAGGACACACAGGGATTCTACGCGCCGAGCTTTGCAACGATTCTGTGAATGTTAAACTGTTTTAGAATGACAAGCTGACTTTAAAAACGACGTTTCTTCCAGGAAACACCGATACTCAACCAAACGCCAGGGCCACCATTACAACACGTAATTCGGAACTAGGAAGGGTGATCGAGACGGCCTCGTGCAGAGACCGGCGTCGGGGCGTTCTCCTGGGCGACTGGGGGCAGGGGCGGTAACCGCGCAACGTGGCCGAGACGCTTTTGTGAGGAAAGGAAAGGTTTCCATCACGTTTTCTAGGTAGAACTCGGAGCCCCTGAAAGTGGTAAAAAAAAAAAACCCCAGATATCAGCTGTCTCTGCCCGCGCGGCGACGAGCCCCCTGACCAAGCACAAAGCCAAGACGGCCCCAGGCAGGGGCAGTAAAACATGAGCCCCGGTGCGCCTGGTCTGGTCACTGCCAGGGCCACTCTGCTTCTGTGAGTGAGTCCCCAAGCAAACAGGCCCAGGGAAAGAAGCACGCACCTGCATTTACGTGTACGTAACAGATCTAGAAAGTTAAACACCACGCTGTGTGTGAGGGGCAGAGCTCCCCGTGACCAGAGTGTCCAAGTCACAGCTGACTCTCACCTTAGCAAAGAGTTGGTGGGGAGGAGCCCTCCCTCCCCGTGCGGGCGGCCGGCTCACTCCGGCACCCTCCATCCCGGCCACGGGCGGGCCTGTTCACGGAGCACAGAGACAGGGAGGCCGATGCCAGCCCAACGCAGAGGGTGGGGGGACCAGGAGCTGGCCCAGCCAGGGCAGCTGTGGTCAGCTGTAGAACACCCACCGCTCAGGGCACCATTTGCGTGCCCTGAAGGGCGCTGGCTGTCAGTCCCCTCGCGACCCTGGAAGATCGGTCAGGGTGGTGAGCACCATGGCGACGGACCCGCGCCGTCCAGGCTTCGCTTCATGGCGACATGCAGGGAACAGGCATGAGAGGACCCGGCTCGGACACAGTGCCGGCTGCCTCGTCTCCGCCCCGTGTTGCGAACGGTTTGGGGCCTGGACGCTGTCCCACGGGTGATGGGCGACTCTGAGCTACCTGTCGGGGCTGCGTCTGCTCAAGATTGCCTCCTCCGATCGCTTGTCACGGCTGCAGGTCCCAGCCCGAGTCCCGGGTCCCAGCCCGAGTCCCAGGTCCCCAGGGAGAAGAGGCCACTTTGAACACACATAGGCACATGTTTAATGCACATTCGGTGAGAGTGACCTAACCCAACACACGGAGCCTTCTGTGCAAACACCATCTCCGTGGAGAGCTTGGCGTGGCCACCGGGGTCCTGTGGCTGCAGTCACCTGGAAAATCCCTGGGAGCTCATTCTCTGACACGATCCTGGAGTCCTGGGTCCCAGGCTGCCCTGGACAAAATGTCCCCAGGTGTGGCTCTCCAGTATGGCACTCAAGTGGGCTGCATGACGTCCTTGACCTGGCTCCCCGACAAGGGACATGGCACATGAAAGTCGAGGTCATGGCCTCAGTCTGAGACAGCCTGAGGCACAGCTGCCCAGGGCCCCGGCCGGTCTCAGATTGGGGCTGATAAGGAGCACATCTACCCAGCGTGTCAGAACAGTGGGGCTGGGAGCTGGGGAGCCGGGGAGCCGGGGAGCCAGGCTGAGGCTGGGCAGGGCATCCTGGGCCCCAGGATGAGCACAAGGTAGGAGGGGGCGCGGGCCACAGTCACGGCCACCGCAAACGTGCCAGATGCCCACCTCTGTGTGAAAACGCTCATGGCCACCGTCAGGCACATATGAGGTAGCACATCCTAGCTGAGTCAGCCTGTGCCAGCCGATGTGGCAGGACAGGCAGGAATGGACCAATCGGGGGAGGGACCCCCTAAGCGGCTCCCACTTACCTGCGGACTCCACAGTCTCGCCATCCACGTCTAAGGATTCGCTACAGACTCCGGCTCTCGCCCTCACTCCCGTCCTGCAGCGGAGCTAAAGCTGGGCTTTCACGCAACAAGCCCCCATGTCCACAGCGCCCGTGAACATAAGTGACCCTCACAGAAAGGCAGTGAGATGAACGTGGAGAGGCTGAGCGCCCGACACACACTCCGAACGAGCCAAACAGGACACAGCACGACGCAACAGTGTCCAACCCCAGGGACAGCCCGCAGGACCCAGCTGGTGGCCACGCCACCTCGGCGCCTCAACCTCTCCCCAGCGGCTCTGCAGGCTCCTCGGCCCCGATGTCGGGGACGTGAGCATCCGGCCAGGGCAGCGACTCAGGCGCCTCCCCAGGAGCCTGGTCTGTGGGCAGGACAGGTGCGCACTCCCCAGACGCTGGGACCAGGAGGCTGGGACGAGTCCGGAGGTGATGCGGGAGCGGAAGACGGGCCGTGGACACTGCCTGCCCCCGAGGGGCCAGTTCACAAGTGTCGTCCAGCTCGGCAGGTTCGGAGGGCCCGCCTGCCTCTGGTCAGCCCAGAAAACTGCCCTTCCTTCGTTCAGGGGGCTAGTGGTCTGTGCCGGCCTCCCGCGCGTGGCCTACAGGAGTGTCCTGCTGCAGAGGGCTCTGGGGGACGGGCCGAGGACCACCGACCCCAATCACCAACCGGGTCTCCACCCAGCTTGGTGTGGGTACTGTCCCTCCCTGTCCCCTGAAAGATAATCACACGGCACCTCCAGAGGGACAGCAAAGGGGATGGGGAAGCTAAACGCATCCTGCGAACACGCTGGGTACATGTGCTCCTTATCAGCCCCAATCTGTGTACGGGGCAGGCCTGACCGGGCAGCAGGGTCAGGCACCTGCAGGGAGCTCCGAGCAGCCGCGAGGGGCCCACAGCAGGGCGACCCTCCGACAGCCTGGAGAGCAGAGTCCCTGCCCCAGCCAGCCGGCCCGGCCCCACGGAGCCTTGTCATCGTCGGCTGTGTCCCAGCCACCCCCCAATGCCCTCTCGGCCTTTCCCGCAGGCAGCTGCCCCCGCGCTCGGCCCCCGCAGCAAACAGTTCCGGTGCCCGAAGACAAGGAGGCAACTTGCAAATATCGGCCACCGACAAACGAGTAGTCCCTATTCTGAGAGGGGGCTGCCACTACCCTTGTCATCAGCAAGGTCAGATTCTCGGGGTCCCTCCCGCCTAATGCCCCTGCTCACGGCACCTGACAAGCGGGCGGCTCGGACGTCGGCCCCGGGCCTGGAGCCAAGCACCTGGCTCCCACCTCGGCGTCCACCTTCGCCATGAGACGAGCGGGTCCTGTGACACTGTGCCTCAGTTTCCCAATCCCAAACTGGGGTCTAACGCGGTCCCCGCAGAACCGCCCTGAGGACAGTCAAGGGGGAGCACGTTGGGCTGCTGGCCGCGCCCGAGTCTCCGCGGTCGTCACAGCCGGAGCCGCCGGCGTGGCCGGGTGGCCTTGCTCTCCATAGCGAGCTCTGGTCCGCCCCATGCACAGCAGGATTCTCCCCTAAACCACCCTAGTGCCCCAGCCCCTCGGCTCCACGGGGAGCCGGCCCGGTGGGCGAGGGAAGGAGGCAGCACCCCCTCTTCCTGTGGGGCGCCCGTCCAGGGCCTCTGCTGCTC